TGGGAGGTCAAAGAGGGGGGTGGGAGGTCAAAGAGGGGGGTGGGACCCCAAAGAGGGGAGTGGGAACGTGGAAGAGGGGAGTGGGACCCCAAAGAGGGGAGGGGAAAGGTCAAAGAGGGGAGTGGGAACGTCAGAGAGGGGGTTGGGACCCCAAAGGGGGGAGTGGGACGTCAGAGAGGGGAGTGGGGATGTCAAAAAGGGGGTTGGAACCCCAAAGAGGGGTGCAGGGGGTGCTGGGTGGGGCAGAGACCCCTCAGAGGGGTGCAGGGACCTCAAAGAGGGGGGTCAGGACCCCCTTAGAGGGGAGCAGGACCCCAAAGAGGGGATCAAGACCCCCTTAGAGGGACACGGGGGACCCTGGGGGTGCAGAGACCCCGAAGAGGGGGGTCAAGACCCCCTTAGAGGGTTTCAGGGACCCCAAAGAGGGAGTGAAGACCCCTTAGAGGGTTGCAGGTACCCCAAGGAGGGGGGTCAAGACCCCCTTAGAGGGGAGCAGGACCCCAAAGAGGGGTGCAGAGACCCCAAAGAGGGGGGTCAAGACCCCCTTAGAGGGGCACAGGGACCTCAAAGGCGGGGTCAAGACCCCTTTAGAGGGTTGCAGACACCCCAAAGAGGGAGTCAAGACCCCTTTCCAGGGTTTCAGAAGCCCCCAGGGCACCTCCCCTCCTCGGGGCCACCCCCTGAGCGCGTTTCTCGTCCCCCCCCAGGCCATCCTGGGCTCCATGGTGAACGCCTTCATGGTGGGCTGCACGTTTGGGAAGATCTCACAGCCCAACAGAGACCCCAAAGAGGGGGGTCAAGACCCCCTTAGAGGGGCACAGGGACCCCAACGGTGGGGTCAAGACCCCCTTAGAGGGTTTCAGGGACCCCAAAGAGGGAGTCAAGACCTCCTTAGAGGGTTTCAGGGACCTCAAAGAGGGGGGTCAAGACCCCCTTAGAGGGGCGCAGAGACCCCAAAGAGGGGGTCAAGACCCCCTTAGAGGGGAGCAGGGACCCCAGAGAGGGGGGTCAAGACTTCCTTAGAGGGACACAGAGACCCCAAAGAGGGGGTCAAGACCCCCTTAGAGGGGCACAGGGACCTCAAAGAGGGAGTCAAGACCCCTTTGGAGGGTTGCAGGTACCCCAAGGAGGGGGGTCAAGACACCCTTAGAGGGGAGCAGGACCCCAAAGAGGGGGTCAAGACCCCCTTAGAGGGGCACAGGGACCTCAAAGAGGGGATCGAGATCCCCTTAGAGGGGTGCAGAGACCCCAAAGAGGGGGTCAAGACCCCCTTAGAGGGGCACAGGGACCTCAAAGAGGGGATCGAGACCCCCTTAGAGGGGTGCAGAGACCCCAAAGAGGGGGTCAAGACCCCCTTAGAGGGGAGCAGGGACCTCAAAGAGGGAGTGAAGACCCCTTTAGAGGGGTGCAGAGACCCCAAAGAGGGGATCAAGACCCCCTTAGAGGGGTGCAGAGACCCCAAAGAGGGGATCAAGACCCCCTTAGAGGGGCACAGGGACCTGAAAGAGGAGGGTCAAGACCCCCTTA